GAACATCAAAGACTCTGCAGGAACATGGATACGGAAAGATCCGAAATAGCGGAACACATTGCACGAACGGAACACGAAATCGACCTAAAGATGGGCTGCATATGGTGAAAACACAAGAAAACGCAAGATCGTAAATCTAATGAACAGGAGACTTGAAGAAACCATATTGTCTAAACAAACTCGGCGAAGACCAGGCAACAGTAAGATCAGCCAAAAGAAGACGACTAGGTCAAGAATAACATCCTTAATTGAATGAAAAGACACTGCATGGGGACCAGAAAGGAATAATCAGAAGCCAAGAGGATACGTCTTCATAACAAGTAGAACCACAACATTTGTGGGTTGGCATACAAGAGACTAGGAAATAGGAAGTGATAGACATGGTATTATGGATAAAGAAAATATAGACGCGGTGGAGATTAGAGCTATTTGGATAACAATCTATGTACTTGATCATAATTGTGATCCATCCTATCTATTCTGTTGCTATCCGTAATAACAAGTATATTACTTGCTATGCCCTAGTCTCTTGTGTGCCAACCAACAAACGTTGAGGTTTAACATTGAACATAATCAAAGCAAGCAGTACCACAACGTTTGTGGGTTGGCACACAAGAGACTCGGACATAGGAAGTCATAGAATTGGTATTAGGGATTGAAACAGGATGGACCTGGCGGAGACTGGAGCTAGTTGGCTTACAGTAGGTCTTACCAGAGACGTGGTCCATGTAGCAAATGCGTGACCATGAAACTTACTCAGAGGCTTTGGCCTCGAATTAGTCACCCAGTCGCAGTGGAGGGCCAATAACGTCTCGTGTGTGAATAGTTCTCATAAAAGCCGCTCAAAACGGACACAGCCCACCATATTTAAATAATTAAGTAATATTTGTGATAGTGTAGGCATGATACAAGGATATTGGATTAGTGGTTATCCCAGGGCGGAATGAGAGATATCTTTTTGTGGCAAATCTAGTGTGGCCTCATCACTTACTATTCACCCCGACTCCCTTTCTTTCTATCGGCTAATATGACTAGGGTCTACAATCCCGATCCCCTCATGGTACTCTAGATCCGTTCTTTATCTTTCTGGTTGATCGATTTCATTCGGTTCCAGTCCCAGTGTGCATTTAACTCCAGGCGCTATTTCTCAAGGCCCTAGAAACACGTACGCTGCAGCCTCACCGAGCAGACCGCCTAGACTGTAAACCCCATGCTTTCAGATATCAGGCATTTCCCTCACGGGTCACCTTAATTAAACCCGTGTTACTTGAGCAGGTCGTCTGCGGCATCTCAAGTGGATTTTTAGTACATTTCTAGTTACGAATTTCTATGATGGTTGTATTTATCCGTCTATTTCCCTGACTGCAAGGCCCCCAAAATTGTACTGCTTTCTTTAAACAGACTTTACTCCCTGTGAACGTCTTCCGAACGATAAGAGGGTAAAGAGTAGATAGATAGGCCAGGACAGAAAGAGGAGTGATAGTGTACCATTTTCGGCAGAGGGATTGACTTCACTTGTCTCTTCGTCTAGTTCGTAGCTTGGGGCGGAGAATGGCAAAACTCACTGATGATGCTGACCATAATGCCAGCGAAACGTTTGAGAATGTACCAAGTCCATTGTCAGATGCTGGGAATTATGACAACTACTATGGGAGACGACTTCGGACTAGGTGCGTTCTACTAAGTCCCCCTGACAAAAAGACCAAGTTGCAACAACAAGGTCAATCCACATCTAAAAATATCCTGTTCTCCTAGATGCAATATCTTCTTTAGGCCTAAGAGAACCCGGTCAAGTAGTGTCAGAGCCGTCGATAGCGCACGATTTTGCTATTCTTTACTTAGCTTTCTATACTTTAGATGATATAAATTACAATGAATACTATGTAATAAAACTAGAACTAGGTACGATCCACAAGGTCGCCCTGTCGCTTCGACTAAGTTTCAAAACAAGTTAAAACCAGCACTCATTTTTCGTCTTTTAAGGACCTATTCGTTGATACTTCCCCTTATATTGTTATTATCTGTTCTTCCAATACCTCACCGTTTACTGCGTACATTTCTATATATTGTATTGGAATCCTAGCTGACATATTAAGTGGGCAGCACCATCTTTAGGGCTAAACTACAACTCGTCAAAGTAACAAGTTCGATGGAAGTTTGGTTAATAATATTGAATCTACTTGTCACTGTGAGGTTGTTGCTTAATGCTAATAATGATGCATTTTCACTGTAATGCCTTACAAGCATCTATAAACGAGCCTAGTCAACGGTATGCGGCTCAAGGAACATGTGACAACAATCGCACAGAAAGAGCTGTTAGATTTTGTGGAAACTTGCTTTTAGCACAAGGCAGAATTCTAGGGCGTATATTAGATTCGTAGGCGTGGGCAAGTTTTTCTAGCACTCGTATAACCACATCACTCTAGGCTGCTGTTAATCGAAAACTTCATAAAGCCCACCTATTATTTAAAAACAAATTCTGCCTCTGTCTTAACTGTTTGTACATTTACTTCATCCTTTCCCCGGGTCCTTTCAGAGGAGAAGATGTCCTGGGTTACGTGGGGCACCTCGCTGAAAAGCTGAATTAAGGGCTCTTTAGTTTAACACGCGAATTCCAAATAAGATCAAATTTGCAGCGTAATTAGAAATAATTTAGATAAAAATATTCTCTAACAAGTTATTCTTACATTTCACATGATCGGCATTGTATTTGTATTGTATTTTCTTGCTAGCATTAATTATTTATCCATTTTCCAGAACTAAATTTATACTCTCTGGTTTTTAAGCACGATTTAGAATATTATTTTGGAGGAATTTCCTAAAGTAACTCTTATCATGCTTTCTATTCGCGACTCCATTCCGACTTTCGTTTAACGCAATTTCTGCTACAAATATAGGATAAACTATTGCGATTAATCTATATTAAGTCTTAGATCAAATCTCATGTTGCGCTTTCCATTCCTGTAATTCATTTTCTCTTAGCTACATGATTTTTAAAATCATGGTTTTGGTTCTTTAATGATTATTACCTATAAGCCGATTTTGATTAGTTTAGATATATTTCCTTGCGCATTATTTAACCATAAATTACTTTGCAATAAAGTTTAGAAACTAATTTTTCTTAGCAATTCTTTTATTTGCTATCAAAACATCTTTCTCCATGTTTCGACTGCTTGCAATGATTTGTACATTATCAGATTTTCATCAACTTTTGTATATTAGAAAGAAATTAAAAATTGTCTACTGCTTAAATTCATTCAGCTTTCATTATTCACATTTTTATCGATATCTTTTCTAAAGGGGATTCAAATTTTCTGTTGATTTGACCTTGTTTTCGCAACTTAGTCGGAGCGTCAGGGAGACCTTGTGGAACGTACCTAGTCCCGTGTCCTCTGCCATAATAGTGATTTCCTGCATTGGATCATTGGCTGGGTACATTCATAAACGCATCTCACTGACGATGCCGGCTAAACGTTTGGGAATGTACCCAGATAATGGTTCAGTGCTGAAAATCACGAATACTATGACAGGGGATACGGAACTAGGTACGTTCCACAAGGTCTACCTGACGCTCCGAGCAAGTTGCGAAAACAAGGTCGGGTCAACACTAGAAAACTACGTCCAAACAAAAGGCCACGCCATCTTGGTCTTACTATCTTTGATTGAAATTACGTTTGATCATTTCAAAATGCTCATTTGCCCCTACGCTTGGCGTATTAATTCTCATCCGCTAATCTTTTTTTAAGCTTTTCCGTCCCATAATTGCTTTGGTTCTCTAATAGAATTCTTGCTCTCTATCTCACTTCCATCTATCCACCTTACCTTCTTCAGATCCTCAACCATCTGATTGCCTCAACTCCTCGGTGCCACATATTTTTGGTCGCCCATCTGGTATTGATGGTGCATCAGAGCCGGGCCAGGTAATCGGGCCTATTTCTGATCCGGTCCAGACTTCCTCCAGCCTGAATTCAAATGCAATGGAACATCGGCACTCGCAATGGATGTCAACCAGATCACCGTCAAGGCCGAACTCTTCTCTCTTTTATAAGGACCGCTTTAAGGTGTTTTATTTTTAAATTGCATCTTCAGACCAATTAATTGTCTTCTATCATTATAACTAAGCGCTCAATAGAAACTATCGCAACTGATGCCACTAACAGCAAATTGACTAATACAATTAGTAGGCGTTGCTACTTACTAAGTTTTGATTACTTATATTTATTATTATTTATATTTTATCAGTTAACGTTGAGCTTGATGTATAAATCTGTTAGCCTTGAGTTTTTATTTGGCCTGTAGATAGCGCTATCTTAAAAGCACCATTCCTTCACGAATCTAAACCTAGGGCTGATTCAGATTTCTTTAGGTTAAATTTCTACAAAATTTAATTTTAGCTTATGCTATGGTAAATGATTGCTATTTCAAATTCTTCATATTACCACGTGAATTTTCCATATCATCCCTTCATCACAGAATTGCAACATAACTTATCTCTGATATTTCTATCTTTACTCTGGCCAAAAATTAATTCCCTTAATTTCGAAGATTAGTATCCTTTCCTTTTCTCTAGAAGATTAATCGTGGATATTCCCTTTTATTTGGAGGTACTGCTGACAAATATTAACTATATTTCGTACGGACGCGCTTGCTACCTTATTTTCTTTGAATGGTCTTGTGGGTTTTTATTAGTTAATTTGCATTCTTGAGGTCTGAACTAAAATTCGTAGACATGAAGATATGGCTTTTGAATAATCCTTTAAAAATCGAAGGTATACATACCGACATGGTGTGGCCTTTGTATGTTTGCAGTATCCTTTCGTTGTATACAAGTTGTTTGACCTTGTTTTCGTAACTTGATCATATTGGTAGGAAGACTTATAGGAACACATTTAGTACGGAGTCCATAGTATGCATAGTTTCAAGATTCGGTCCATGGACGTGGTACATTTCCTAACGTTTTGTCGGCATCGTCAGTGAGAGGCGCCATCGTAGGCAGAGAGTTACAACTTTTCATTCTGACAAGTTGTAGCTCGGAGCTTACGATGGTGCCTCTCACTGTCAATGTCGGCGAAACGTTTGAGAATGTATCCAGCCAATGATCAAATGCTGTAAATCACTGTCAGAGGGCACGGGACTAGGTCTCCCTGACGCTCTGACCAAGTTGCAAAACAAGGTCGAACCAACACTATAATTTTTGTAGTGTATTCGTTAAATTATCTTGCCTATCATGGACTCCGTATTAGGCGCAATCCTCTAGATATTTCTGCCAATAATTTTCAAATTGCGTAAACAAGGTCAAATAACTTCGATTCCTTAAAAAAATCATGTACCTTTCATTTCATCTAAAAGGATTTTTTCGATGACCTCTTAAATGTGCCTCAACTGAATCCAGACATCCCGGATATGGAGGCCAATAATTCAGAATATTAACGAAATTAAAGCTTTGCCACGTTACTTGATAAAAGATCCGATGTCGAAAATATGGCAAAAGTAGCGTCTGGCTAAGTACCTATCATGTTCTTTGCTTCTCTTCTCAAGGGAGTCCATTTGTAAATGTTATTCCAAAACACATAAGACTTAGCTGTTAAGGCAATTTCAATATAAATTTAAAGGGCTTGTGAGCAATTTGGATGATGAAAGTCCTGCAAGTGGTTCCTCACTTTGCCCTCTTACGTGGCCTGATAATTACTTATTTCTGCCATTGTGGTAATCATCGATGGACATAGTTGAATTAATAGGGAAAATTTTCACTGGTATCGCACTGCCTAATGTTGATTAATTTTCCAATAAATATATCAAACATCCTTTGATCTACTTAATTAAGCATGAACGAGGACAACTGCTTAAGCTATCCCTAAGCTCTTGTTCACTTCATTATTTCATTTTTCGTGTAGCCTGCTTTCTATTTTGTATATCCTGCGACCCCTCTGGATTTGACTAATTATGTCGACAATTGAAACTTAGAGGTTGTTTGGCCTTGTTTTCGCAACTTGGTCATATTGGTAGGACGACTTAGAGGAGCGCACCTAGTCCGGAGTACATTATGTGCATGATCATTTTCAAAGTCTTACCATGGACGTGGTACATTCCCAAATGATTCGCCGGCATCGTAGTCGGCTTTGTCAGTGAGACTCGCCATTCTTAGCACCACACAACAACTCGTCAAAGAGAGAAGAGAAGCCGATCCTTTGACCATACGTTTGCTAAACAGTTGTGGTATCTTCTCTTTTAGATTTGTCCCACCATTTTTCTCTGCTTTTCAATTAATCAGGAATTATCCATTTTACATTGCTGAACGGTACTTATTGCCAAAGTCTTTTTTTACCAGGCGACCAGCGAATCATAGATGCTAGATCGATTAATTCGTTTTTTCAGCTTGGGTTGCTTAGGCTTAAGTTTGTGTACGAAATAGTTTTATGAGTTCGTTTAACATTGGTAGATTTTTTGCTGCTTGCGCGATCTCTTATAATGTTAGTCACGGATTAAGTTCAATCATCTTCCGAATTCATTTTTATTACAACCTAGCAGATTCGTTTTTGAGCGAAATAGTTCAAAATGTAGTTTCTATCAACATTTTTTTTAAAGATACAATGTCCATCCGGAACTAGTTATATCCTCCCAAAACCACCCTCATACTATTCTAAATATTTCGATCGTTTTTTCGCTTCCTTTTATAATAGCTAAACGCTTTTAAATGGGATTACTTATGCATTTGATTCATTTCTTCCTGTTGCCATTTTCTTTGGCCCTGATTTCCATTCTTATTTATTTTTTCTTTTAGTGTCATAATATCTTTTGTGACCATTTTCTTTTTCTATATCACTTTTTCCTTAGTCCAAACTGATTGAGCCTTCGCATCACACTGGTCATAGTTCAGACAGCTTTCCCCTTAACTCGGTCTCATGTAGCCACCTGCTTTCTCCCCATGATCCCGGATCTTTAAATCATCTTTCAACTCGGCAATCTCTTTTGAAAGCATCATCTTCAATCAGGCACGATTCCATTTGTGAACCTCTTCCACGCTTCACTCCAGCGGCTAATCTTTTGCATAATTCTGACCAACTTCAACAACCTTGTCTAAAAGAGCAGCAAATGGATCAACCCCTACCAGGACAGTATTTATCGCCACGTTCATCACATCGGTCTTCGACTTACAGTAGCCAGTCGAGGGACGCTTTTTTTCAACCAGAGACTCCAGACTCTAATCTTCCCCCAACCCAATACTTTCAGCAACAACAGCAAAATCAGCTGCATCAAACATCGACGCCTTATTCAACACGACAATACCAATCACAACTTCATTCCCATATTAGCTCCATTAGACCATTCTTGACGGATAACTATCAGCCGGAAAACAACTTTACTCTAGGACGATCGGTCGGGTCCTTCAGAGCCTCAACTGCGCAACCATCTAGGTCAGGCTCAATGGTGCAGGTGACTGGTGAAGTTCACCACCCAGCTTTCCATAATTCGACCGTCAACCAAAGCCACATTGGTCTGCAATCAACACAGCAGAAGTCTCAAAAAGGGCCTTCGTCGACGTCCTCGCAGCCCTCGTTGCAAGCGCCTCCCTGCTACTATTATGAATATCAGTCCTCCAATGAAAGACCAGCTGAAGCTGGGCGACACAACTTGATGAACTCAACTTCTCTTGTGGCAGTCACTTCAGGCGATTCAATTAACACTTGCGATGATTCTGCGGACCCACGGCTGATTGATATTGGTAACGATGGGCTTCAACCATCATCTTCACTGGATATTAACATAGTAAGTATTCGGGGGATAATGATTCAAAATGCTGCTTCATGTCTTTAGCAAATTAGTGCAGGAGCTGTTATAATAACAGTTTACTGCTCTGCGTGCTTAGGTTTGGTTATTTGGATTAATTTTTACAACATATTTCCCATTTGATAAGCTCGAAAATATGAGCTATTGTAAGACTCAACAAAAATAGACTTTTTGAATATTGAAGTCATCATGTCACCACTTTATAACTATTTTATGTTTGAAATGACAGCAAATCTCGTTCAACAGTGGGCTAATATTTGTTACATTAGTGTTCACAAAGCCAGGTGATATTGGTTTAGCCAAAAAATTCCCTATTACAGATTGACTGGA